AGTGGCCCAAGGGTGCTGAACGGCCTTTGGTTATCAGTTACAGTTTTTTGATAACAGGGGTGTATCTAATGCAGTCTTCTGGAAAGCAACACAGTTTGCTAACTGATTTTCCCCTTTTAGAATCTCTTGATAGAGAAAACACATTTTTTCCATGTTCGCTTATCTTTAAACAGAAATCACACCAGATTCTCAGAATTTTGCTTTTAAGTCAAGTGTTGTGATAAAAAAGTCTCTTGTTGATCTGCAGCAGCATCTCAGAAGCAGAGAAAATCATTAGGTTTAATTAGGATCAAATATTTATTAAGCACTGCTAGATGAATTGAGTGTATTCAGTAATGGAGAAATTGTTTGTGGGTAATGTGCTGTAGTAGTAACATATGAGGCATGCATGACTGAATAAATCTGCACAGAGATTTTTTTCCTTGTGGATTGTTTTTCATCTAGAGTAGAAGTTTTATTTACATAGTATATCATTTTTCCATCATTCTTAGATATCTGAATCAAAATTTATTTTGAAAACTATCCTGTTAAATTGATAGATTAAGGTGCCTAAGAGTATTGTATCTCCTCATACATTCTTAAGTATCATTTTTCACCTGTAGTAAATGCAAGTGTGGGGAAATCGGTGAGATGATGAGAAATGGGTTTACCCATGAAGAGCTTGTGTGCTGCATTTTTAGTGTCCAAGTATAGTAGTCTGTGATAATGAACCAAACAAGAAGCATCTCAGAACCCAGGTAAGAAAACTAAATATGAATTATAGCCTAGGCTTTTTGTATTATAGCCTATTGGCTAAATTCTGTCCCTTATTGTTAAGACATGTTTCTTGTTGATTTACTAGAAATCAGTCACTCTTGAGAATAAAACTTTGTTCTGTAACTTCAAGATGTGACCTTGAATGTTTACAACAAACTCTGTTGTTCTCTACTTACTGAGGGCTGGAACTATCGCTCTAGTTCAGAATTGTCTCATTTTCAAGCTACATTGCTTTGTTGCATCTTTAGTAGAGACAAATAGATAAAATCAAGTGTAGAAGAACCAAATGGTATGGATAAGCTGAATGGAGGAAATGCTTCAGCCAGCAGTGGTCTGGACATACTCATCAGCTGTGTAACATTCTCTAGATGGATGTCAAAGCTTTACCTATGTTACGAGATTTCAGAAGGAAGAATTGCAGTCAATTTTTTGTGTCGAGTCTTAGTTCTATAATAGTATCTCTAGGTTCGTAACAGTGAGCAGTGATCATAGGGCAATCTGACTTCTTTTTAAAAAGAAATTTCAAAATTAGGGCTGACCTTTTCCAAAAATCAAGAAGCACTGCTCAAGGGGAATTGGTTTCTGTGCTTAGTCTCCAAACCCCAAAGAAATTATCTTTGCAAACTAATGAAGATAAAATTAAGCATTGTAGCCTGTGGTACCCCCTTCAAAGCTTTAAGTGTAAATGGAAGGGTTGGAATTAGGACAGCTATTTTCTGGCTATATTTTTCTAATGGTGCTTAGTATACTACTGAAGCTATAGAAAGCAGTTGTTTCTGTCCCTCGAAAATTGTTGAGGAACAGTGGAAGGAGAAAGCTGTTTGAGAGTGGCCTGATGGCTGTGAGTGCAGCGTGTTGATGGCATTTCAGTTTCAGTATCTTAGTAATCATTAAAAAGGTAATGGGTTAGTTTCATCCCTGCTAGTAGAGTGATGAGTTCAAAAACTAGAGGATCCACACATGAAAGACACTGAAGTGCTAGCTGTTAAGATCTTCTCTGGGTAACACCTATGTTTGTCAACAACACCCACACTGATCAGTGCTTGTGATCCCAACAGCAGCCCTGTTCAGCATTTAAGTGAAGAGTGAGAAGATACTGCAGTTTTTCAAGTTTAATAAGGGCACTGTAATGTAAGTGCTACCTTTGGATGGACCAATGCATACAAACCCTTAGATGTTTTCTCACTGGGTAAATGCTTTGTGTGGTCTGTTTGTGACACCAGCCTAGCTGTTCGCATTCAGATTCCCCAAACTCATGCAACCTGGTAACTAATTTAGCACAAGGATAGGCATAATATTAACACAAGATGATTGTAAGCAAGCCAGAATAAAAGTGCTTGGCAGTGTTAAAGTCACTGAGGATACTTTATGTTAACTAGGTATTCCAGGTGCTCAAGAAACCCCAACCCAAGTTTTTGTGTAGTGCTTTTCATCCTGTTGTGTCTGATTCCTGAGTGCTTTCCAGTTAATTGCATTAACTTTCTCCTAGTGTACTAGGCTAGTGGCATTAAGACCTCCTCAGAATGAAACCAGGTCAAATAAGGTAATTGCTAAAGAAAAAATGGGTGTGGGAAATTTTTTGTGGCTCTTGAGGGAAAGATATTTCCAAGAAGTGTTTTGTCACAGAATGGGAATGTTTTTACAAGTTTTATACAAACATTATTCTACTTGGCAAACTCTACCTGAGATACAGCAGATACCTGCTTTGTAACTTAGTAGTGATGCCACTCAAAACAGGGTTTGGGAGTTTGTCGAGGAGACAAACTAAGAAAATGCAGAAGCTGCATGAGTGCTGGTAGTAGGGGTAGAGATTTGTGTGTGGAAATTTTCATTATATCTAGGGATAGCATTTGGGAAATACAAAATAGCAGTTACTCAGAAGCTTGCCACCTCTTCCAAGCCTAGGCAAATATTTCATGGTTTCTGGTGTCATAGTCAAGATTTACGGCCAAAAGGTGCAGAAACAGGAATTCATTCATAGAATCATAGAATGGTTTGGGTTGGAAGGTCATCTAGATGACCTTTAAAGGTCATCTAGTCCAACCCCCCTGCTGTGGGCAGGGACACCTTCCACTATATCAGGTTGTTCAAAGCCCCATTCAACCTGACCTTGAATGTTTCCAGGGATGGGGCATCTTCAACCTCTCTGGGCAACCTGTTCCAGTGTTTCACCACCCTCAGCATAAAAAATTTCTTCTTTATATCTAGTGTGAATCTACCCTGTTTTAGTTTAAAACCATTACCCCTTGTCCTATTGCAACAGACTCTACTAAAAAGTCTGCCCCCTTCTTTCTTATAAGCCCCCTTTAAGTACTGAAAGGCTGCCACCAGGTCTCTCCAGAGCCTTCTCTTCTGCAGGCTAAACAACCCCAACTCCCTCAGCCTGTCCTCATATGAGAGGTGTTCCATCCCTCTGATCATTGTTGTGGCCCTCCTCTGGGTACCCACTCCAACAGGTCCATGTCTTTCCTGTGCTGAGGGCTCCAGAGCTGGACGCAGTACTCCAGGTGGGGTCTCACCAGAGCAGAGGGGCAGAACCACACCCCTTGACCTGCTGGCCATGCTTCTTTTTATGCAGCCCATATTGTTAGTCTGTCAATGTTTTAAGTTCAGTCAAAACAGGTCAGTGCAAAGCCTGTTGCTTTTTACAAGTAATGGCAAGAATTTTATTTACTGAGCTACTCTGGACCTGGCAAGACAGGCATAGAAATGTGAAGTTTCCTGTGGCTTGTCTACCATCTTCAGTTTTGGGATGAAGGACCTATTAGGAGATGCCTCAAATCTGAGAATTTCTTGTGTGCGTCTGGAAGCTACTCCTTTTGGAGCTGCTGGTTGCTTAATGCTATGTACAGACAGATTCCCTTCCCTTTCGTGTTTACCAAAGTGACTCTCATGAGAGACTTCCTTTGTTGAGTATGTTTGTTATTGATTTCCTAATTCCTTCTTATCAACACTTGGTTATGAAGCCTCCAGTTCTCTCAGTGGTTTTGGAAACAGTTCATTTCTAATTAATCTTTCAACTGAAACTTGTTCTCTTTATAGCAAACTTCAGATTGCTGTGATCAGCAAGAAGATCGCTGTTCAGGACAGTAGTTCTGAGGGAAGCTTAGTTACAGACCTTATACACTTACTTTTAAAGCTGACTTACAGGATGCCATACTGTATTGACCTTTAAAGAGAATTTAAGTTAAAGATATACAATTTTTACCAAGGAGAAAAAAAAATACAAAATACTATCCAAAAAGAACTTTTAAGTAGAATTATGTACAGGTAAATAACACTGAGATTGTTGTTATGGTGAAAGTGCCCTTTAGTAGATAATAGTAATGTTTTCTTTCACCATTTTAAAAAAAAAAAAAAACAACCAAAACCCAAAAAACAAACGTACTGGAACCGCACAGTCTGTCAAACAAATACTATATGCCTATGTAAAATTAAGAGGAATTGCTTCTCCACATTTGTGAACATACTTTTCTCTCTTCTATGTGGGAAGAGTCTGTGTTAAAAGTTTCTGATGCTGCAGCCTTAGGACCAGAAAAATGTGAGAACTAAGACCTCTGTAGAACTGAAAGAAGACTTGTCAATTTTTTCTGCAGGAATGTCTTTTCGTTTAGAAATACAGACTTAATATCATCACTGCCCAACAGCTGCTGCTTAAAAACTCCACACTGAGGACAGCAGCTGAACTACTCACACTGTAGACTAAATTGGAATAAGCGTGTCTGATGAGCATCTGAGAATGATAGCTGGAAGGCAAAACTCATGACAGCTGGACCAGTGAATATAAAGACACTCATGCTTAGTGTTCTGCAAAGACCAGCACTTGAGGTCCTGGTGAGTAGATAAGGAATCATAGAAGCGTACAGAATGTTTGTCAAGACACGGGATGCATTTTCAAAGATGGCCTATAATTATACGCACCATTTCATGTATGTGATACTAATTGCATACATAATTTCTGGCATGCTGGTCCTCATGTTTACCCAAGTATGGAATTTACATGTGACTTTTCTTTGTGTGTATGCAAATTTTATCACTTACTTCAACACACAATCGTCTGAAAAACAGTGAGGGCACATTGTTGTTTGTAGCAGGGTGTACTCGTCTATGAGCTGGGTCAAGGCTGTCCCAAAAGCATACCCAACTATAACAACCTGGGAAGGGTATGTGTTTTGGTTATGAAAGAAATTATTGGACAAAATACGGTGGTCAAACCATAATGTTTTAAATTATTTTTTTCTCAGTTCTTGTGTATTCCAGAAAGAGTATCTCAGATACTGCATTGATTTAAAGCAGATTCTTCAACTAGGTATTGGTAATATTCTGTACAACTCAGTGTGGCTAATGAAGCACTGCATGCTACCTTTGGGGCTATAGCTATGGCTTAGCGTAAAAATATGACCTTGACATGCTTTGAGCTGCACAATGAACTAGTCGATAGGAAATGACTATGGTTTGTAATCCTATATAGTCACAGAGACATTATGTTCCTAAACACAAAGAGAAATAAAAGCTGAAGAGTAAAGTGACTTACTATTCTTAAAATGTCCAAGTAAACAGTACATTTCCATTTGCTACTGTACAAAATACCCTTTGTTGGCAAGTTACATATACATTGAGATGATCGGACAGTCCTTTGAAGTGATTAATGGAATAGACTGAATCATATGCTAGATATTCTTGTAAGACTTGATTCTGGCAAGATACAGTTTGGTTGAAATGCCTTTTACCTTTGTGGGATAACTTCCTGGTCATCTCAAAGGAAGCTGCTTCAAATTTGGGGGAAAAGAGCAACTTTGATGTTAAAAATTGAGGCCTATATCTGTCGTAGTTTTGTTCATAATTTACAATAAACAATGGGAATAACTCTGGAGTAGTGCATTAACTTTTTATTTCTGTTTTTCTTGTGAAATTGCTGACTCATTGTAAAACTTTAAAACTTTGAAACAGTCTTTTTACAAGTTCAGTTCTGAGATACTTTTGCAAATCATATGGATAGTTTTGAAATAGAATATATTGATCTTTAAGTATGCCTCTGTTGCAGGAATGACAGGGTAATACATTAATTGTGATGGAAATATGTCATTTTAAACAAAATTCTTGACACCACAGTATGGTTTATAGCTGAATTAACTTTAAACTCTTAGCACTCAAAAGTTATATAGGTCAAGAAGGTAAAGACAATAGACTTTTTTAAACACTTGCCTCTATTTACATGCCTCCCTTCAGTTTGTGTCAATGATTTTGATTCTTAATCTCCTTTTCAAACTAGTAGATCAGTCAAAAAAAAAAAATCCAGAGGTCAAATCTTTCTCTGTGTGTTTCTTGTCTCCATTTCAGAATTGAATGTGTATTTTGACCTTAGCCATGCTGTTAGTTGAGATCTTGGAGTTTGTTACAGTAATAGGTAATGTCTGTGGGTTTTGCTGCTGTTTTGAGTGTGTTACTCCTCACTGCCTTCTGGGTGGAAGCTTTAGGTCTGTGCTTTTTCTTGGCAGACACTGGTTTTAACTCTTCTGCCCAACTGGATGCGTTTGAGGAGCTCTCAGAGACAACTGTTGAGCATGTGTAGACTTCTGTTACTTTCCCAGAGAGTGCTACAGCAGCACAGCTCTACCAAGGCTCTTATTATACTACTGCACTTATATCCCATTATGTGAAGTTAAATATGTTCTTAAATGTTTCCTGGTCTCAATAGGGTGCAAAGCTAGCCCGAGAATATACAAATCTGCCCAAAATCTCTACAGGCCTCTTCATCAGCTCTTTCCTCAGTCTTCATTTTGTCTTAGATAAGGCTTGATGTCTGGTATCCCCCTTTTATAACAATCTGCCTTTTCCAATGTGTGATGTCATTCACTCTTTAGCAAACTTTTTACTGATTCTCCTCTTTCTGAGATCTTTTTTCTAAAAAAGAAAAGAGAGGTTAATGCTGAGTTTAACCATCCCATGAGATTTGATTGCTCTCACCTGAGTGGGAGCCATCAAGTGTTAGTGATTGTGTGTTGTCCCTGGTCTGGAAGATATATGACATGTTAACTCATTCTGTGCTGTAAAAGTGTTAAAACCTCAGAGTTCATAATTATATCCAGAGATTTCCCTAAGGTGGTTGGAGAGTTTTAGGTTTTTTTCTCCGATGCTATGCTACATGTGTCTTTGTCTTCCGAATAAAAATACCACGTACATCATAACAGCTAAATCATGACCATGGTCCTGATCTTTCAGGCAAGTCTGATGTTGGTATGCTGCGTATAGATTTATTACACTGCTTATATGCAAGTTTCCCTCAGAAAATATTTATACATGTTTTATATACTTAGAATTACAGGATGCATGTTGATGCTGCAGTCATATAGAATCATAGAATCATTAGGTTGGAAAGGACCTCTAAGATCATCAAGTCCAACCATTAATCTAGCACTGCCAAGTCCACCTCATAAGACTTGTTCTCCAGACCCCTCACCAGCTCTGTTGCCCTTCTCTGGACACACTCCAGCACCTCGACGTCCTTCTTGTAGTGACGGGCCCAAAACTGAACACAGTACTCGAGGTGCGGCCTCACCAGTGCCGAGTACAAGGGGATGATCACTTCCCTAGTGCTGCTGGCCACACTATTTCTGATACAAGCCAGGATGCCATTGGCCTTCTTGGCCACCTGGGCACACTGCCAGCTGATATTCAGCTGGCTGTCAACCAGCACCCCCAGGTCCTTTTCTGACAGGCAGCTTTCCGGCCACTCTTCCCCAAGCCTGTAGCGTTGCATGGGGTTGTTGTGACCCAAGTGCAGGACCTGGCACTTAGCCTTGTTGAATCTCAATATAGTTAGCTACACTGAATATTGCATGTAGTTGTTAAACACAGACTAGTTTCATTTATACTGTTTTAAGGAGTCCAAATTCAAAACCCTAAGATGAAATCTCACTGTTATGAATCCATGGAAGCATCCATGTTTGTTCACATTCCCACACATTTTGGTGTTTCTGCTGTATGCAGGGAGATACATAGTTTTCCCTGGCTTCAAAAAGTCATGCGGTGCAAGAAGATAGGTGAGCTGTGGATTTTGTTTGTTTTAAAAACACTTGTCCAAACTCATAGTTTTGCCTTTGATTCTACAATCTTAGTAAAGAATTTGGCTAGACATTGAACATGTGCATTTTTAGCCTTAAAGAAAAATATAAATAAAGATAAAAAGGAGCTCTACAATTTAGTTATGACACGTTTGCATGCTTTTTTCTCTTAGGTTGCTCTGACTGTTTAGGGTACAGAGACACTCTTCCCTGTATGACATAGGCCAAACTGCTTCCAAAACGTTATAGAGCCAGGGTCCAAGTCACTACTGCCATAATTTACTTCAGCATAGAAATCCAGCCTCTGCTGTATTCTATAGGGAACCTAGATGGGACAGTGAGCTTGAAATTTCTGAAATTTCATAAGGGCCTATGGAAGAAAAGTGTATGTGCAATGAGGATTCAGATACCTGAACAAGCAGTGCAGAATTGTGCTAGTTCTAGAACAGTCAACATGTAAACATGGCACCATACCTGAGCTAGTAAGATATGCTTGGGTAAAATGTTGGAGCTATGCTACTCTTAGGATTAAATTATCTTTTGTGCTGTAGTATGCTTTAGAAACCTGGGAGTTTGAAGTCACACCAGCTTGAGGTTTCTATGCCATGGCAATTGCATGTTACAAACATACACTTGGAAAGCTGGATACACTAAACTCAGCAGTACAATTATTACATGTCTGGGTTCTTCAGGTGACTTGGAATCCCAGTCTAAAGGTTGTATCCCAGTACTGTTGTTTCTGTACTCACATGCTTGGCCTCACTAGGAATTCTGCAAGAAATTGGATAGCAGGTGCACATACATCTCTTGTTAAAGAGAATTTGCTTGTGCATGCTCTGTCTCATTAACAGACAGTACTGTATCTCTGTTACTATTAGTAAAATTTTAGTCAAATATTTGTCTGTTTACTCTTGTTGGCTATTGTGTTCTGAATTTGATTTTATTCAGCAGTTATTCAGTGGTCTGTGTATTTGTTCCCCTTGGTTTCTCTCTCAAGCATATCTGATATTCATGACCTTGATCAGTTATAGATAGCAGTACCAAAAGAAGATATATAAAAGCTCAAGCCACCCCCCCATAGTTTTAAAAGCTGACGCACAAGAAATTGTCCAATTCTTAACTTTACAGAGATGTTTTCCTTTTTTAAAATGAATAACCCTTTTTGTTTTGATTTCTCTTCTTTGAGCAGCTAGTGAAATACTTGTATGTGATACAAAAATACTAATATACAGAATGAGCTGTGTTTATGTGCTTTGTTCCCACAAATACTATATGCTGCACGTGATGCCATCATCTTGTTCTCTCAAGGGCTTGAGTTTTCCATCATCTATATTTCATAAGTCTTGTTACTTAACCCATTGCAGAGGTTAAAGGCAGGGGGGAGGGGGGGGTCTGTTCTTGCAGCCATCAGGATGCTTGCTCATCTCATGAAATGTATACGGCTCATTTTTTTTTAATTTGAAATAGCAGTCAACATACAGTTAAGTGTCTATACAGCATGGCATTTAAATGTATAACGAGAAATTGCTACATGTAAGATAGGAAGAACAAATTAAGAAGCTGCATAAAAGTGAATGTATCAACAAAATCTGACGTTTGGAATTTATCAAAGGCAGAGAATATTAAATCTTAGCAAGCCATCCCTGTTCAGCCCTGAGGTTTTGTCATCTTGTCATTGATGTTGCGAGTTTCTTGGTATTGCAGATACTTCATGTGTGAAATAAGGTGGGGGGAGGGTCTGAAGAAAATTATTTTTTTTGTCAGCTCTTCAAATGAGCCAGGCACCCTCATCTACATCTGCTCTCTTCTTTTCCTATTACCATAAATACAACCTTTAATGTACTTGATAAAGACACAAGTCAGGCAGAACCATGCAAACCCATAGCAAAGGGTTTTGTGTTTGAAACCTTTGGGCAAAAATATACTAATAAAAGAGTCTACATAGTATTTGATATAATTTGCCTTTATTTCCTTGTGTATGTTAAATGCTTCATTTCTAAAACTACTAATAGTTGTTTGTCAGCAGAGAATAGCTATAAACACATAAGTAGCCCACAATAGGCATAATGTCTGGCTTTAGAAACCATTTATTAAGCTGTGCCATGTGCCAAATGTTTAATAGCATTACAATAAATTACTAAATTTAATGCATAACATTTTAATTACTCTGAGAGGAAGACTGTTGCACCTTTCCGAATTCAGAGGTGCATTAGGCTTGGTTTAGGTTTTTTAATTGGTTCTATTT